GAACGTTAACTTTAACAATACTTCTGACTGCAGTTCAATTACTCACTACCTACACACATTATCGCGTTACGCCGTCACCCTCTTGTATATATACCAGACTACCCTATATCTAGCAAATGCTAGGGCATTCACGAAGGAACAAGATAGTTCTAGAAACGTGGCATGACACTAGTCACGTGACCTCGCTGACGCAACAATATTTTATACATATACAGTGATGGAATTAAGCTTTTACTGAGCACAGAAGAAGAATCAGTAGATATGTCCTCGATTCATTGGATTTTGCTTGTATATATTTTTTATGTGATGCTAACTGTAATGTATCGACTTTCAAATGTTGAAAATGTGGTATTATCAGGTTAAACTGATTTCATCAAAGAGTATTAGGTAGGCCACTTCATTACAGGAAGATTAAAAGGATATATTACGAAGTATTGCTGAATTAATATAAGACTAACTTAGTTTGGGTAAAGAAATAAATAGATTGGACTCGATGTGCAACACACACATAACGAAGACACTCTTTATTAATTCAAATACAAAAAAGTATGTATACTAGCTTTTGGAGGCTGGATGGTTGCCTTTCACTGGATTCGTGAGTTGATTAGAATGGCCTTCTTACCTCAAGATGTATTCTCACAAGTTCAGTTCACTCTAGATGTGGAACATAAATGTTTAATGCAAAATATCTAATTTAACAGGAAACATAAGATTTACCTATAGTGATTAGTACTATCTATATGACTAGTCATTCTCATTCAAACATAAAGGAGGCCTAAACCACGAGATATCAACTGGTCTACCATTGGAGGGTACTGGCTGTTGACATTCTTGCACAACGTGCAGCATTAAAGCCATGCACTTATGGCCAGAACAGGTGTTATCTCCAGAGATTGGGAAACGAACTAAAGTAGTTAGCAAAAAAATAAACGTAGTGCCTTTCTTGACCCTGTGTTATGGAAAAACTGCACAGATTTGAAGTAAGAAAAATGTTTTGAAAAATTCTACATTACAATAGGAAATTAGAAAGTCATGGTATGCCTACTTACCACAAAGCAATATCATGACAGTTTGGTTAGTGGTGCGCATGGCTGCCTAAAATAGTAGATATATTTTACTGCAAAATATCGTATTTCGTGTGTGTTTGTTTGTTTGTATGTGAGGATATATAATGTAGTGATAACACGAATATTTATCCTGGTTGAAGGAATTTTAACTGAAAAATCTTTGTTTGGCCAATTGTGTCAGTGATTATTTATTTTGTTATGCTGAATGAGCGAGTTAAATTTATCAACGCACAGATGGCAGCATGTTACAGTACCGTTGCTATCGAAACATAGCTAGTGGT